GTAAAGTCGAGACACATGAGAGTGATTCCAGCTGTGGCTCTGATCAATATTGCTGCGCTGGAGGCCGTTTCACCTCCCCAAAATGAAATCAGAGAGTTATTGAAAGTGTGTGTGTGTGTTCTTGATTATGAGAATAAGACCCCGGGCTGAAAAATACTACACTTCTAAGTCGCTGTTAACACGGAACCCATGATGAATTTCCCCCAAAATAAATAATAATAATAAAAAATATCAAGGCATTTTTCTACACTTTGTTTTAATCCTGTCAGCTGAGACAAAACGCCGACTGTACTGAACATTTTCCTCATCAACACAAACACGGGATGTCATGTTCATGTAGAAACATTTCATTGGTTATAAGGACATAAAAAGCTACTTCAGTTTAATCAGTTGGGTGATAAATTAACCGCTTCAACTTTGCTCCCAGGTGGTAACTGTGCACTTAAGGTCAGATTTATAATACAGTGGTTATCTTTACCTTCTGCCTGCTCACTGACACTTGCACTATACACGTCTATAGTACTTCAATCCTTTGTTCTTTACGAGCCAGAAACAGAAAAAGTCTACAAAATGGACATCAAGTAAAAACCTAAATCTTCGGTTTGGAATGGAAATTTCAACGGTAGCAAAAAAACAAAAAAAAAACATTCATGTTTATTGACATTTCATGATATTCTAAACCTTGCAGGGCTTTGTAGGCAAGAGAGCATTCCAATACTTCAATGTGGACTAAATGATAGTATAGCATGGCCTGTAGTAAGAGTCCACAGTGCTAATCCTCCCAGATACCCTGACGGCCCTCTGTATGTGAATGTTTGGGATGTTTGGAGGGAGGCGGGGGCTCTCACCGTCACCCTACAGCAGGAGGAAGTCGGGGAAAAGGAGGCGAATGGAAAAAAGGAGGTAAATATAGAAACGACCACACATAAACGTGTGCGTTTCTCTGAGTGGAGGGGTAAAGCAGGAGACTGACAGTGGTTTATAAAGGACGACGCAGAGGTACCCGGAGATGGTGCAGGAGTACGGGAGTCTCCGACAGTATGATGGGGGAGATTTGAGGGCAGTTCTGGGGGCAATCGCAAGGCGCCGGCCCCTAACTAGAAGGTCTTCCTGTGGATGGCACGTGCTCTGTCTTCTTCGTATTCCCGCTTCGACACCCACATCTTTTTAAAGGTGTCCAACGATGCCAGGATAGAGCCGCTGCCGGGAGGAAAAAGGCCAGTCAGATCACAGGTTTTATCAAATGTCACGCGTCTCATCCTTATTCACGGGTCAACACTGAATTCTTACCCAATCCATGTGGAGTACAGCCTCTCCTGGGGAGCAGAAATCTGGACAGGAAATAAAGCAACGACCAGTCACAAAACAAATTTTTTACAGAGCATTCAAGATGTGTGACTGTTAACGCCTCGCGTCCATACAGCTCAGCTCACGTCTCCTGTCCTTCAGCAGACACATTTCTAATGTAGCTCAAGTTGTTTTGTGCTCGCTTTGCGTGTTTTATAATAAAAACTGAGCTAAATACACATTTGCATGCTTATTTCGATGTGACGACATGCTGTGTGACTGTAATTTAAGAAAGAAAAAGTAAAACCGAGCTGAGATGTAGCAGCAGAAAACTGTCCATGTCTCCCTCTCTGAGTACATGAATTAAAATCTAATTCAAAAGGCTGAAAAATTAATCAATATTATCAATATTACAGTGTGGCCAAAGCCGCTTTTCCACTGCACGGTACCAGCTCGACTCGCCTTTTTTTGGTTTTCCATTGTGGAAATGTTGTACCTGCACCTGTGACGTGAAAACACAGCAGACTGCTGATTGGTCAGAGAGAATCGTCACTGTTCACTGCATCATCATTGCTGCACCAGACAGAGGCCAGCGACAGAAAGTTTTATATTTTACAGTTTTCATACATTATTTCATCACTAAATCCACCTCTGAGAAGTTTTGAGGTGACAAATCAGCTGTGTAGATTTCGAATATTGACAGTTTTACGAAAAGTGATGGCGGAACAAAAATGTGCTTGAAAGTTTTCGGAGTTGAGGAGCTACGCAATTGGCGGCGGGGGAAGCCTGCGCCAACCCGCAGGAGGAGCGTGTGAGGCGTCGCAATGACGACCGGCTAAATTGAGGGGTACTATCTGCAATGGAAATCGGAGGATGCTTTCCATCGCAGACGAGGCGAGCTGATCTGATACTGGTAATGAAAAAACGGCACAAGTGTCACATCCAAATCGCAGGAGCTGCAGTTTCTTGATAAAAGGTAAAATGTGTCACAACATGCCGTTATAAATAGGGGCACTGTGGCGCTACAGAGACGTGGCCTGGCCTACAAATCATATTCTCCAGTCATGATGGAACAAGCTTGTTTGGTCTGGAGCCCATCAAAAATCACACCGTAACAAATTTAAAAGCACAAATGACCATTCTCCTGTCAATAATAATAATCAAATAATCAATATATGATTTTATTTGCGGATTATCTTTCAGCCCTATGTGTTTAAAACAAAGTCCGTAACTAATTAAATACATCATAAATAATAATAAGTGCCAAAAAATACATTCTCAGGTTAATTTCAGGCTCCAGAAAGTGTAAAGATGGTGCAGCAGAGAAAGAGACGTTACTCATTGACAGGCATGTCACGTAGACCCAGTGCAGCAAACTGAACAACAAAAACTAAACCTACCTTGATCTTCACGTCTTTGGGTGCGAGCTTCTTGACTTCAGTTAGTAGTCTTTCCCCAAAGCCTGGAAGAAAAGAGACAGATTCAGTGAGTGAGCGTTTATATCTGTGAGACAGAGGGTTGGTTATTTATTTCTCTTATTAATATTTGGTATTAGAAGCAGCGACAGCCCAAAGGCATTTTCACATAAAAGCAGAAAAACAAGGGCGTAATATTTTCCCCTCCTGTAGTAAACGCCACCACCTTAGCTACAGTGCTAATGTTGCTAGCAGGAGCGTATTAAAGACTATAGCGTTTAAGAATAGAGGGCTTTAACAGGTGAATGACTACCTTCCATCACTTAACACCAACCTTTGATCAATGTCGATCCCCCACACAATACTATAGTGGAGAACAGTGTGCGTCTGAGGTCCATGTCAGACTTCTGGATAGCATAAGCCAGGACCTCGTGGATCCCCGAGCTTTCATCTCCTATCAGGTCGGGTCTGAACAGCAGCTCTGGAGCGCGGAACCTGGCCGGGCCGATCTAAAAAACAAAACAAGGTCACATTTCAGGGTTTGTGGTCAGGATGGGGAGGAGGTTTTCACAGAGGAGGAAGATTTTGAAACACTGAACGTCCTTCCAAAAACACTTCTCAGCATCAGTTCGACTCACGTTTAAAGTGCTTCCATCAGGGAGAACATACTGAGCCTTCTCTGTCTCTAAAGTCTCGTCCTTTTGCGGGTTGAGAGATAGATAACAGGCTCTCTGCAAAGTTGGAAACACGTTTGATTAGTATTCATAAAGTTCTTCAGATTTCAAACCAATTCACACGGACCACCGTACCTCTTTGACGGTGCGAACAACCTCGAACTCTGCGGAGGTGTTGAAGTTGTAGCCTTCCTTGCGCAGCAGCAGACGGAGATACCGCGAGACGTCTCGCCCAGCAATGTCCACGCGCATGATGGAGTGTGGGATGGCAAAGCCCTCGTAGATTGGCACCACGTGGGTGACACCATCCCCTGAATCCAACACAACACCAGTGGTACGACCTGTGGCGTACCTGCAAGAAACAGAGGCCAGTCACGTCCCATTTACAGACCACAGGATCCACGCTTGTCATGTCCTTCTAATCAGTATGTTTCTGTGTGATAAAGGTTCAACTGAACCAGGAAGTGACGCAAAAGGTCTGGAACAATGTTTAGGTTCACTTCAGTCCTAAAATCACGCTGCACTGACACTAAGGAACACCAGGAACCTCCGGGTCGGAAAAGTGAAGACAATGCTGAAGTGCCTTAAACCTGCATTCTTTCTAACAGCCAGCAGGGGGCGACTCCACTGGTTGCAAACATTGACTGTATGTAAGAAGTGGACGTAGTCATCGTGACGTCACACGCTGGTTTGTGGACTGCCGTTTTGAAGCCTCGAGTTTGGCTGGGACTTCAACACTGCAAAAAGAAGTCAGATTGTATAAGAATATGAGAAAATGTTTCTACTTGTCAGCTGATTTATTCCCTCAGTAAACACTTTCCTGATGAGTTTATGGTCTCAGTCGCTAGTTTCAAGTCTTCTTCAACACAGCATGATGTTCATTTAGTAAATTATGGTCCCATTTAGAGGAACAGAGACCAGAAAGCAGGGGAGGCTTTAGGGCGGGGCTATCTTGTGATTGACGGCACCACCTTAGCTACAATGCTAATGTTGCTAGCAGCAGATCGCTACATTTCAGACACTGTTTTTATAGCAAACCTGCACCTTAAACTAAAATTATATTTCCACATCTGTGTAGCCATGAAGTTCTGAAAGATGTACATTTTCTTCTCCTTGAGGGTCTCCACAGATATCTGTGTGTTGCCCGAAAGTCACGAACACACGAAGGACGTACATGTGCTTCAACTGGAGAAATTCATGTGATCACGAGTCTGCTGCAGCTTCATGTTCTTCTCTTCTCAACTGAATGGTTTTTGTTTAGGGTATAATGCTCATGGTGAGCTGTCAATCAGGATAGAAGCGACTTCTCTCTGCTGCACTTTGTATCTTTAACCAGCGCAGGTGAAAAAGCTTATTAGGAGTCGGCTGTAAATTTTTCTGGTAAGGACATTTTGTTTTAAGCTAGTTAATATCAGGAATTACGGATGCACCTTGCAAACCAAGCAAGCCCTCTCACCCAAATATGGTCAAGGATCCTTGAAATGATGCCGTTTGTAGTAACTTCTGACACTGTGTGAGCTCGTCATAACAGAGGAGTGTCAAACCAGCTGATGATTCTTCTTCTAGTTTTAGAGATTGCGTGCGTGTCTGCTGCAGCTTAATGTTCTTCTCCTCTAACCTGGCTAACTGGATGGTTTTTGTTCAGGGTTTAATCCTCAGTAAAATGTAGATTTAGTATCAAACAAACAGGGGCGGCCACTCCTGTTTGTTTTACAGTAAATGTTTTTTAACATTTGGTAAATTGTGCAGATAGTGTGGTTAACAACAGGCCTTTCTGACGCACCAACACCTTCTACTCCACACAGAGCCTCTGCCTCACTCCAGTCAGCAGTTATGTGAGCGTGATTAACAGTTTTTTGTATTCAAACCACGAAGAAGTTGCAGAACTCAACATAAACCGAGGAGTTGTACCTCATAAAGTGGATGCTGGGTGGATACTAAACTGAAGTACAGAGCCATTAAACAGGTGTTTGTCCGTGAAATGTAATGTGTACTTACAAGCTAAGGACAGCCTGCATGGAGATGAAGAGAGCAGGAACGTTGAAGGTCTCAAAGAAAACTTCCGCAGCCTTCTCCCTGTTCTTGCTGGGGTTGAGGGGAGCTTCAGTGAGCAGCACAGGATGCTAGCAAAGATACCGAACAGGACAGGATTACTGACGCTGCGACATCAGATCTACCAAGAATGTGACCCGATTATCATGTAGCGAGAAGAGAGGCGCTAACCTCCTCGGAGAAAGTCTGCAGTTGCTCCTTGGAATAAACGTACTGCCAGATCCTCTCCATGTCGTTCCAGTCCTTCACTATCCCGTGCTCCATCGGATACCGAACCGACAACAAACCCCTGTGCTCCTGATGATCACAGACAAAGACAAGGGATTAATTAAAGGAAAAAAAAATCAAGGATTGAAGCTAAAATGCATTTGTAAATTTGCATTATTTCACCATTTCTGGGTTCCTTTCTTTGTACAAAAGATTTGGTAATGCTCTTTCAGGCTACTGAGACAATGATTTAGTCACATGCTTCAAAAACTGCAGATGTTATGAAGGAAACTAACTGTGGACATACGGATGTATTTTGAACTTGTGTTTGTATTAATTGCGTTCTTAGTGTTTGTGTCTACCTGTCCAGTGGATGCACATGGAAGCAAGCTAGTTGCTAAATCTCATCTCTTCTCCTTGCAGTGTTTCCCATACGTTCATTTATTTGTGGCGGCTCGCCACAATATCAACACTGACCGCCACATATTGATTTTTTTACTAGGCCTACTTAAAATCGTAGCTCACTCTCTCTCCCTCATGAACAGAGCTGCACAAATCTGTCCAACACAACGCTCTGAATGTCGGAGACCCAGTTTAAAAACGTTATTAGCAAGCATGTAAGGAGCCTAGCTACTAAGGAGAGCTAAGTTAATGTTAGAAAACAGCTGGGTTTTTGAGGCTAGCACTGCCTTGTATGAGATTAATGTTTTTTCTACATGACAACTCCCTGAAAACTAAACGTTGTTCACTAAACTACAGCAGCTGTTGTCTCTGACTCTCACATGACATCTCAGCTTGTTTTTGCCTGAAGGCCCGAGGGAGACAAAGCGGAACAAAGTTCTGGGATGTGATAAAAACCGAGCTTTAGAGATATCAAACTAAATGCTAGTATGATCCCAACTCTGCACACCAGCAGGCACACAACACTCCCACCATGAAGCCTGGCGGTGGCAGCATGATGATGTGGGGAAGCTTCTCTGCAGCCGGTCTACGTCTTCTAAAAAATATTTTTGAGACATTTTTATCCCTTTATTAAATATAATAGAGAGACGACATGGGGAGGGGGAGGTGCAACAACAGTTGTGGACAGGTTGTGGTTCATGGTGTACGTCTTTAGGCCTAAGCTACAAGGGTGCCCCTGGTGTTTTGCTCATTTCTGATTGTTCCATTTATTGGAATCAGCAAACCCCAGCTTTTGGGCGGGATTAAATATCGGGGCGCCATTTTTTTATTTTTATTTTTATTTTTTTACATAGCAAGCTGGCTGTGTAGCTACATCTGTGCAAAATAGCAACAGAAAAATGGTGACAAGTTGGGATGAGAGTTTACATACAGAAATATCAACTCCTAAATCAACACAATTATTTGATCTGCACGACAAAAAATATGCTAACAGTGTTTCCCGCAGAGGGAACGGCAGGTATAATTCTATTTCTAATATAAAGTTGCCAAAACAACACAGATCTAGTATTCTGGATTTGTCCATTTTCACAACAGCATGTGCACCACATGTTGAGGAGGCTAGTTAATGAAGTAGCCTACTGAAACGCTCAAAACCAACGTATATGTGGGAAACTGTAACAGCTCCCAGTTAATGCTCCGCAACTTCTGACACAGACTGACAGGACAATATAAGTATTATATTTGTGTTTTCTTGAGAGCAACGTGGTAGAAGAACCTGTTATTATATTGTATTATTGTATTGATTCCTATGGTTCTTATACAGACGACAATCTTGAACTTGGCTGTACAATAACAGAAAGAACTGGAAGAGCTCCAAAGAGTTTAAAGATGTGTTCCACACCTTCCTGGTAATGTCACTGTCACAGGTCCAAAATCTCCAGTGCATTACAGATTACTGGGGGAATAGAGGTGATTTGTTTTTGTTGAATTTGTAGTTATATTTCTGAATAAAAGTACACATTGTGCACAAACATATCTTCAAGGCATTATCTGGAAGAAGTCCTCCTGTGTGATTCTGGAGTTTGCTGCCTAAAAATTCCTCCATATACAGGAACTGATGTAAAGAAAGCAGAAGTGTGTGTTTGTGTCTTACTTCTGCCTTGGGTCCGATAAAGAGGTCTCCCTCCAGGGCCCCTGCCATCACACGCACATGCTTGGGACGCCCCACACTGTGCAGCACACACACAGAAATGAACAGTCAGACAGTAAATATAACACAGACAAGTATGCAAAATTGAGTTAAACTAAACATATCTGACACCAGATATGAGCTGAAATTTTAAGACAAGTTTCAGAAAATTAATCTGCAACTTTTCTGATTTCAGTTTATTATTTGTCTCACTTTTCAAGCAAAAATCATCAGCCTCTTAAATGTGTATAATATTTTCTGCTTTGCTCTCTGTTACAAGATTGTAAATTACACATCTTTGGGATTTACACTCAGAATCAGAGAGAGCTTTATTTTCAAGTTATATTTTACACATACCAGGAATTTTCTATGGTGATTAGGTGCCAGACAAAGACATAAACATACAGCTGACATAAATAACTTTACAAAATATACAAATATTGAATAAACAGATGCAAGTTACAAAAGAATTATGGAATAACTCTGTGTAAAAGAAAAACAAAACAACGTGGCAGTTATTTACATGTGCATTACTCTGGATTTGTGTTTCCAAACGTACTACAGGTGGAGAGGATTTGTACTTATACAAATATAAAACTGACAAAATATAAAATAATAAGGAATATGTGCACAACTCTGAATATGTCACAAAATTCTGGCATTTAAAAACACTTTAATTAATCAATAAAATCCTCGTTACTATAAAGTTAACATTATACATACTACATATATCCTTTTAATCTAGGTGCTGTTGGAAGAGGTCAAGCAACACTTACTAGTTAGGGAAACAGTATTTGGGGATCTGGTCGCCTGCAAAACCAGCCTTGATAACCCCCGAACCCTGAAGAAAAGACAGGCATGACATTTAGGCCCAAAATCACAGAGTTATGGTTGAACTAAGAGCAGCGAAGCTTTAATCTCTAAACAGTGCGAGAGGTCATAAGACACAACCTGAGGCCACCAGCAGTCACACACTCATGCTCAGACACCAGCAGCCAGAAGAAACACTGTGTGTCCTAGATCGCTGCTGTCTCAAGAGCTACTTTGTCCTGTGCTGTCATGACTAGCAAGGCCGACACTATAAATATATAAATATGCATTTACAGCAGACGACGTCCTAAAGTCTGTTTCTGTTGCATTCATTTGAGTTTCCCTTTAACCTAACGCCAACCACAGCGTGCAGTGTTATTTGAAGGAATGGGAGAGGTTTTTTGAGGAGGGAACAAATTTACACACAACACTGATGTTATGGCAAATTCTGTAAATGTATCTGAATTTCAGCTCCAATGACAATGCAAACGTTTTTAAACATACTTCACCACAAACTATTTTCTGATGAGATAGCTTGTTCGATGTATGCGTTTACCAAATATCAACAGGTGAGGTGTTGCGCTCTGCAGACACACCTGTAAGCTTCCTCTACAGTTTCTGCTTTCACAGCCATAAAAGTACGTGTGTTTTCCTGTGTCAAAGATCAGATTATTAACAATCAAAATGTTTGCTTAGCAGCTATTCTGGCACTCTGTATATTAATGGAGGAGAACAGGTATTGGCAACACCTGCCAAAAGAGAATATATAACACAGATTAGCAATGGCACTAACATATAGCTAGCTGGAAATCTATTCAGGTCACAGAATATAGTGTAACACCAGCAATCAAAAACGTGCTGTTTGTATTCCTTTAACTGCATTGCTAACATCCGTGTGCTCAAAGCAAAGCTACTGTTTGTGCTTCATATGAAGACACAAAGCCAGCTATAGAAAGAGTTTTATCTGGATCTGGTCTACATGTAAAAGTAAAAAACAACAGCATATAAATCGTCCTTTTTAGGATTTCCACTAACAGAATAAAGGTTTCACAAATCTGAAACTTTTTTTCCATAAAGTTTAGCCTCTCTGGGACAATTTAGGCCAGATTTGACAGCTCCAGTTTTTTTTTTTTTTATCTTGATCTGGTCCAATGTGGTCTACATGTAAAAAAAAAACAAAAACAAAAATAAACAGCATATAAATCGTCCTTTTTTGGATTTCCACAAACAGAATAAAAGTTTCACAAATCTAAAACAGTTTTAAAGTAACGTTAGCCTCTCTGGGACAATCCAGTCCAGACTTGACAGCTCTAGGCATAGAGGTTGTTTTTTTTTTATCTGGACCTGAACTTTCCCCTGACCTGCTGAACCGGACGCTCACAGCGACGCTGCTGTTTGTGCTTCATATGAAGACGCAGTTAATCGGCATCGTGTTCAGCTAATGCCTCAGAATGAATCTTACATGCATCTCTTACATCCTTGACAGCTCAGTCCGCTATGCTAGCTGTTTAGCATTTCGATCCAGCTCCAGTACCACGGACAGCAAACCGAAGCTTAGCTAGCCGGTTAGTGCTGCTGTAAGCTAGCTACAGCTTTAGCTAGCTCTGGATAAATCAAGTTCGCTATACATACTAGCAGCTGGAGCAATGCCAACGTCGTTTAACGTGCAATGCCGGTAACTACTGCACAACTAACGAGCGTGACCGAGATCCACAATCTATACTGTTAGCTTTAACACAATAGCTCTGTAAGCTAACAGCTAGCCAGCCAGCGGCCTCGGTTTGGGTGTGGATGAATGACATCATCATACTTACATTATCAATCACAACAGGCTGGTTAGCTAAAATGTCATAGGATTCCATGACGGACTGTGTATTTAAGATATGTTTCTATCGATCCGTGTGTGTATTCCTCCCGGTTTAGTGTTTTAATCATGTAAATGACAACACGCCCTGTCACTGTGCACTCCGCCGTCTCGACGCCCCGGTGCTGCTGCTGCTGCGGAGGAGGAGGGTCTGACCGCCTCCCTACCACAACAACATCGGATTGACTGACAGGAGAATCGGCCAATCACCTTCACTAGTTTCTTGACTGACAGGAGGGTTAACCAATCACAGCGTTTAACCATGTGGCCATGCGTTACTGTCAAAGAGCAGCAGCGTTTTGTCCACCCTGTAATGTGTAAACCACAACATGTCTTTGTGAAAATAATACCCAGTTAATATTTTCTTGTTTATTCTGATCTATTGGGTACGATTAAATAATAACTATACGTTTATAAAGAGTACTCAGCTCAGCATTTACAAAGGGTTTATACGTTTTAATACTTGATAAATTATTTTCTAAAGTCTCACAGATCAGGTATGAGGTCATAAATAATTTTAGATTGCCAGTAAAAATCCATTTGGGGTTTTTTTTTGCTTTCTATTTAGTGATAATGAGGTGGTAATTCATTTATCAGTGCTAATGTGTTTCACACTTTCTAATAAGCCATCAAGTGTGCAGCTATACGACATGATGAAATGTCTTTAATAAAGGGTTTAATCATCATTTGTGCAGTTATAAGTGTTAATACATCACGAATTAAAGGTTCTAGCCATTAAGTGTGCAGTTATGGATGTTAAAAGTCATTAATAAACTGTTTCAATCATCATGTCTGCTGATGTAAGTTTAAATATTCAAAATACACTCGAGTAAAGTACAAAAGTATCAAAAGGCAGAATTCACTTTGCACAATGGACCCCGTTTGGATAATCATTTGGATAACATGCAAGTAGGAATTAAATGAGTTGTCGGTGGAAGAGACCCTCATTTTAATTGATTTAAATACTGGGTATCTCAATTAATGAAACTATTTTTAACAATAATGATAAAATTTAAAATATGAAGCCCTCTGAAATGTAGTGAAGCAGCGGTATAAATAAGCATAATGAGGATAAACTCAAGCAAAGTACAGGCACGACGTGATTCTTAATTATTTTCCTCCTCTGATTGCTTGTTGTCGCCAAAACAATGACACGGACGGTGTTTTCACGCCGAAAGTTAGAATTCTGTGGTTTCCCGCAGGCCCTGAATGCAGCAATCACCGTCACAGCCGCTGACCAATCAGAACGCTTCTTGGAGCCCGGCCACCGACCAATCATGAAGCTGTAAATGCTTAGCTAACATGCTCTTGTCCGGGCCGTGTGAGGAAAACACAGCGCAGAAGTTCGTGTTTGACAGTGAAAACTTGATATATTTAGACATATTTTTCAGGTATGTGGTGTTTTTATATTAGTATCACAGAGTCGTTTTTAAACTGAAAGGCAAAGAGGTTAGTTATACTATCTGTTAACGTGGTTTAGATGCTGTTTATAATGTAAAGTTAACACCTTCCTGAAGTTGACGTTAATGAGCTAACTCATGTTAGCATGAGAGTTTTATGAGGGCAGAAAACATAAGATAGTTAAAAGTCTGTGAAATTACAGGGCGATGTTTATGCTCTTTATTTTAAATTAAAACTATAGCTGCTAGCTTGTTTCGCAAGAAGAGTTTTACTATTGGTTTCAGTTTGTGTGTTCAGGTGCTTTGTCACACGTCTCACTTTGTGCACAAACTTTGGACTTTATAGAGTCTGTTTGGGGACAAAATTTGTGTCACTAGTTTGGTTTCACCATCAGGACCAAACATAAAGTGGTTTCTGTCTTCGGTTGGCGAGGATAAAGTGAAAGTAAATGTAAAAAGTAAAGTGCCAAAGTAAGCAGCTTTCTAATGTTGGCAAAGTGGAACAAATTTTTAATTAAGGTTTTTATATATATAAAATATAAAATTCTGTTGATCAGATTGATCTAAAATCAATATCTTCAAAATAACTGGTAACGTTATAGCTGTGACATAAATGTAGTGGGGTAACAGTTAGATTAGTTAGACACCATAAAATTTAAATTAATAACTCTGGGTTTTATTTTCTTGAATCATAGGCAGATAACTTCTATCAAAAAACAGACCAGGCCTGTGTTTATTTTTCCAAACATGTGTACCTGTATATCATATCCACCGTCAACATGTACATAATGAGAATAGTTTACTCTTGCATCCTTTGCACTCTGATTACTGCACTATTTGTCAATAAGTCTATATTGTTTGGTTCATAGTGTGTATATTAGTGTTGTCTACTCTGTAGTTTGTGTCTGATATTATTATTATTATTATATTATTATTGTATAAGTAAGCACATCATGAGCAATGTCCAATCCTGAGTCAAATTCCCCGTATGTGTACACATACCTGGCAATAAAACTGATTTTACTGCCAGTAAAAGGGACAGGCGTCTAACTGGGACTCGACTTTTAAGTGAAGTTTTACATTAAATGGTCAAGTAAAGTAAAATTACCTCAAACTTGTACTTAAGTGAAGTACTGTGGTGCTGCAGAGACGCCTTGTCCTACAAATGTTTTCCTTCAGACGTAATAAAAAAAAAAAAAAAAGTTTGGTAAAGACCCCAACAATTAATATTTCTTTAATTGAAAATTAAAATTGTGATGCCAAAATTATCATTCCCGCTGATCCTTAATTATATCTCAAATTTGTAATAACATAATAGCAATAGGTTGTCTGTGTGTTTTTGTTGTTGTTGTTATTTTAAAGAATTGTGCAGCCTTAGTAGAAACCAAAGCTTAAAGGAGAGTAAATATTGGACTTTATCAGGTGGCCACAACTTCAGTGGGATGCTACTGTTGTTCAGTGAATGTTTATAAATGGCTTATGATAGTATGTCGTTATCACTTTATGCAGATGCAAGTTCTTGGCAAAATATACATTCCACCGTCATAAAAATAAACCCAACTGTTGCATGTGTGTCCGTGAATCAGTCAGTCTGTAAATGCTCATTTCACAGATCCTTGCTGGTCTGATGGGTTCATGATAACATCTCGGAGAGCAGAGCCCGTTCAGCACCATGGCCCTCGCTGAGGAGCAGCCTGAGAAGTAAGACCACACCTCCTGAGTGCGAGTCATGTCTTATTGCACCATTTCATTCATCCATGAGTTGTTATGATGAAGGCATTGCAATTCTCTAAATCAGTCACATTATCTGTACATGACTCGTATGGAAAAAATCTGACATGTTCTCACTTGAGGTGAAATCTGCTGTTAGGAATGGCATGAGGACGAACGTGTTACTGAAGTCATGTTGCTCTTGAATCTTTTAAATGGTTTCTTTACTGCTGCGAGCTCCACAAGTGAAACTCCTCTCCATCCTATTTGGGTGGTGATAGAAGTCTCAAACGGATATCAGGACAAATAAAACCAAAGCTTATCTGCATCATCCTTCGTGCGTGCATCATAAGAGGAAATAAATATCGTACTGTGAAGAGGATCAGGTTTGACTGGTGTGAGAGATGGGAAATCAATAAAGCAAAACAATGGAAGGTGAAAAGCCTGATTATTAGTAACCCATTATTGAAATTATGAAAATTCTACAAAACTGTTAGAATTATGGGTGAACAAACAGGTATACTGGGTAAATTAGCCTGTTTTTATTTTGTTTTCTCTATGTTGCTTTTATGTTTTATGTGAAGCACTTTGAAATGCCTTGTAGTTGAAATGTGCTATACAGATAAACTTGCATTGCATGGCAAGATACCACTAGGGGTAAATTATTTATTTATCTATCTGTCATTATTGGTAAAACTAAAAAGTTTAATGGTCTAAACATGCAGCTTGCAGGGTGTGTGTTTCGTACATAATACCTCCATGATTGTATTTTGGACATGCAGAAAAGGAAGTGGCTGTGATTGGTTCCTATATAAGCTCACTGCACTGTAGCTTTTGATGGTTGATGTAGCCTGTTTGTAATTTGACTGACATGTTAGTAACACTGTGTTTTGTCTGTCTGTGTGCATGTGCTGTCCAGACACTGTTGGGTGTGTTTTGCCACTGAGCGAGACGACCACAGCGCAGAGTGGGTGAGCCCCTGCAGGTGTAAAGGCTGCACTAAATGGATCCACCAGTCCTGTCTGCAGCGCTGGCTGGACGAGAAGCAGAAAGGAAACAGCGGAGGAGCGGTGAACTGTCCGCAGTGTGGCACTGAATACCACATCACCTTCCCCAAGATGGGTATGTGAAGCTTTACAACAAGAATGGCAAGTCTCTGAAGTCCAGAGAACGTCCAGGTCAACCGGTCACACAGCGAAAAAACAAACTTCATGGACTTTATGGCAGAGCAAGGGGAAAAGATTATATTATTATTATTATTATTTAGATTGGCATATTGGTTGAACGCCGGCTGGTTTCAGACACGCAGGATCTCTGTCAGGTTGAAAATGGTTTAAAAAATGTTAAAAAAAAAAATGCATGAAAGCCATTTGAGGTTGAAACTGGATGCCATAAAACCAAATACCCAACAAAATAAAAGCATTTCATATCACTTTTCTCTTTGCTCTGGCTAAAGTCCAATTTATAGTCTCCGCATCCACGCCGTTGCGAGGGTCTGTGTGACGTACATTTTTGCCAGTGTGATCAAATTATTCTTTTCCTCCTGTGCTATCAAGTAAAGAAACTCCGACAGGAAGATTTAACACATTCCTCAAATGGCACGTTTGATTAGTTCAGCGGCAGTAACTACAGTTCACTGTCTTTAAGGATAAAGCTGTCAGTATTCTACTTTTTATTTATTTATATTTTTGATGTTTACGTATCCTCTGTGCAGACTGTGGACCAATCTCAATTTTCCTCCTAAGCTCTAAGCCCTGAACCCTCACAGACTTATTTCACTTTACCTGGTAAGTGATTGAGTGTAGCGAGGCTGCAAGGGCTCAAAATGCAATAAATTTATTCTCTTATAAGGCGGGTTTGCCGTGATTTTTCTCTCTTCTGGGCTTCCCCCTCGGGAAGCTTCTGCAGAAATGCAACTTACAAAAATGGTGCATAAGGGGCTCAAAATGTCTTGCTGTCGTGCACTTGATTATTTCACAGTCAGATAGCCTCACAGGGAACGCTCCTCAAAGTCTGAGTGAAGACATTGAGA